TCCCCCCCCCCCCCTCCCCCGATGTGTGTGTGTGTGCGTGTGAGGGGGGGAGGTGGGTAGGTGGATGTGTGTAAAATCTAAGCGCAGATCCAATAGGGCGTGACACATATAAACATTAAAAATCCAGCTAGATCTATAGCTTTCGTTGCTTTAAATTCAAAATGGTCTCTCAGGTTGGCCAAGCCTACAGTCAAAGGAATGTAACCGAGCCTACAAGTCAGCAGAGCGTGCACAAAATTCTCGATTACCCTTCGTGGCGTGTGAGAGTTTCTAAATGTTCATCTCTGATTGGGCGAGAGCGAAAACGTTCCTTGAATTTCATTGGTCGTCTCTGTCAAAGAAAGGTGAGAATGTTTTTATCCGGGCCACTGGCGCAGCGGGATCGAGGCTCGCTCGTACACACAACAGAGACAACACAGAAGAGTGTGCCAGGGGCTGGGCTGACAGTGAACTGCGAGTTGGCCCACTTGGAAACTCCCACACGGGAACTTCACATACTTCACAGGAACTTGCCTCAAACTTGCCTCAGTTCTGTGTACCGGTTTCTGGACTTCACTCGTTCTAATTGTTTTTTTCAGCTGATTTGTGACAAATTTCCTTTGTAAAGACTGGTTATTTCAGTTTCGTTGATTTGTAAAACAGGAGATGTAGCGATAAGAATAGATCTAACGATCCAGATTTGTATTCGCTTCGTTGTCTTGGAAAGTTGGAGGAAAATCGAAACTCGCCTATCATCGGTGGTTACAGAAACGAAAGTTACCAGCTTGTATCGAACTGTTGTTGTTACGTGAAAAGGCCCAATGGATATGAACTTGTTTTTCAGTATAAGGACTTTGTTTTTCGAGTCATGGAGCCCGATGTAGGATCACAATCGGATTATATCAGGATTACTGACTTCGGTGACACCGATACATAATCGTACTTCGGATAAACCAACACAGAATCATGACTCAGGTAAGTAGACGCAATAACGCTGACAATAAAGCTCTAAGATCTTGAATCTAGATCTAGATCTAGATCTAGTTGAAGAAATTAACTTCTCTCTCTCTCTCTCTCTCTCTCTCTCTCTCTCTCTCTCTCTCTCTCTCTCTCTCTCTCGTTCTCTCGTTCTCTCTCTCTCTCGTTCTCTCTCTCTCTCTCTCTCTCTCTCTCTCTCTCTCTCTCTCTTTCGCTCTCTGCTCTTTCTCAGCCTCCCCCCCCCTCTCTCTTTTCTCTTTCATTGAGGATTTCGGCACTTTCGAAATCTGTATTGTCTTTCGCCACCCTCCGCCGACATACTCTCTCTCTCTCTCTCTCTCATACTCTTGCTCTCTCTCTTTCTCACTCACTCACACACACACACATACACACACACACACACATACACACACACACACACACACACACACACACACACACACTCATTCACACATACATACACACACGTAGACTCACAACCACGCTCACAAACACGCTCAGCAGTGGTGTTACTGACTGCACGTTTAGCTCTTGGATCATAATTTTTTCTCTTTCACATGCCTATTAAATTCCATATTAATTTAATGCAGCTTCTCTTGCTAAAACATGGTTGTTTCTGTTTAGTAAGTCTTCTTGGCGTACAAATATTATGTACCAGTACCCTCCAGAATTATTTTTAAGTTTTATATATTCTTTTAATTATATTGTGTCTAAACGAGAAAGACGGAGGAGAGATGCAGGTTGATAGAAAACAGGGGCTTTTTACACTATTCTTCGACATCTTGTTTTGTTGCTACTACTTAACTATAACTATATGCCGGCGATGATTGGGTTTTTTTTAGGTTATTTATTTTTACTTGTTTTGTGTGTGTGTGTTGGGGGGGGGGGGGCTTTTTAAACATAATGATGATAATTATAATAATATAATGTTGAATCTTGTGAAGCTTGTGGTCATGCTCTGTTGAGTATATATCTGATCTCTTCATGGGCTGTTTTCCTGCCAGTCGAGTAGGATTATTGTTGATGTGTTGTTTTTTAAAAATCTATGAGAAGAGAGTCTGTAGTGTTGTATTGTGTGTGTGTGTGTGTGTGTGTGTGTGTGTGTGTGTGTGTGTGTGTGTGTGTGTGTGTTTCTTGTCTATCATGTGTGTGCGTGTCTATACCTAGTCAAAAAGCGTCCATCGGCTGCCTTTGGCCTTAGAAGGCGTTTAATCATTGTTTTGGTTCTTGTACAAATAGGGTACCAAGAATTTAGAGAATAGTTGGGTTGTTACAGTTACGGTGGTCATGATTTGATGAGGTACAACGGCATCGTGAATCTTTGTCCAGCAAACTTGAATGTAAATCGTCTACTAATCTGCCCCCATGAGACAGTTTACTGTCACAGAGCTCGGAAATACCCCAGACATAGAGACGACAGTGCCTGGACGTGTTTGCCGTGCCTAGTAGTACATCTGTAATCTTTTCTTCCATATGCCCGAAAAACCGATGCGAATTTCGCGTACGAAATTCGGGTACGATGAAAAAAGAGCCCTCCTTCCATATACCCGAAATTCATTATATCCGTCATTTCTGACTGAAATCACGGCACCATTTCAGTCAGAGCAAGCACTCTACGTTGAAAACGAGAGAATTTTGCTGTTACAACTCCGGTTCCTACGAAAGCAGACTTTAAATTGCTTCGTCCAGACTTGATGATGGTCCTTCCTTCATAAGCTTTGCTTTCTTGGGTCGTTTTCTTTTCGAAGCTTCGGTCCTATCACCGACAGCGGTGGCTGCGGCACAGACAGCAATCTTAAGTTATAATTAATGTATGTTAGAAGTTATATTCAAGTGCATTTAAGGAGGGGGGGG